ATAATTCTAGGGTAAGATACCAAGGTTGGTAATTGACACTCTAGAGACCTAAGAGCTTACGAAACCGACTGAACCCTCCCTAGAATACATAACATTTCAAATTGTATGAAGGGTTTTCAAATTTTCCGGTTTTCGCAAAAGTATATCAGAATGAAAAAGGGAGATAAGAAGATGTTGATCATAGAAAAACAAATGAAAAGCCTAAGTATACAGTGGTTGGAATAAGAAGAAGGTATTATCTGTCGAGAGCTAGTTATTTACTTAACAGCGGTATCCTTTATTATCCTGTTATCTAATCCTATTCTCACTTGAAAAATAAAATGAATGACGTCAATCTGTTTGTCTAATCTCAAGCTCTAAGGGGTCTTGGGGTCTCTATTTGTGAGTCACTAAAGACTGATCTTGATTATTATTAAAGTTGGTATGTTTGTAATCTTATCTCTGGACGTTGGCTGATGCAGTTTGACCTATAAAATCAGTAGAGAGGATGATGAGAATCGTTTGAGGGCACGATGGTGTAGCGTTCACTTGTAACATTGAAGATTCACCGTGAAGGATAACGGATACAACACTGGAGTTGCAGTTGCAAGGCATCTAATTCACCAACGATACGAGCTAGCCACGGAATGTGCTGCTTGTCCGTTGGACCGATCAACGCTCTTCATGGTGTGCCATGAGTGACCACAACATTGCTTATGGGGATCTTCTCTGAGCTGTACACGTCCCCGATGGATCATGGATGCAAGCATCACCGCAAGCGAATCGCGATGGTAATCGGGATATACATACTCGTTGCTTCCTAGTCGCGGTAATTAGCTTCTGATCGGGGGTTAATTAAGTTGAGTCCCCCCTATCGTTCTGAGTAATTGCACATTATTTTCTGTAATATTTTTTACAATATTAATACTTGCTTATATATATTGAAAAACAGATAACGATTCAAAAGTTTTTTTTTTCTTTCTAATGAAGATAAATTGTTATTAACAAATTTTAAGAAAATTTTTATTTACAAAAACATAACAAATAATATGAATGAAAGAATCGTATTTATTTTTAATGATATACCTTTTGAAGAAAAAAAAATCAATTATCCGAATTGTTTGCTCTAATTATTACTACTCCGAAAAGCGTTTTTACTCACAATGTAACTAATTCAATAATGGATTGAAAAATTCATTCATTAAAAGCTGAATGGATTTTTTTGTTGAATTAACAAAACATTATAAAATCAGTTAAGCTTGTTTGAATAAAACAATTGGATCGTAATTTCTTTAGTAACAATTTATTCAAGTCCATTCAATTAATAGATAACTTGTTGACGATCCTTACTATCTCATAAAAATAATTTTCAATTGGTAAATGAGAGAACGCATGTAATGCGTTATACGAAGACCGGATATATTAAAAGTCTTCAGCAAAAGCGTGACTCGCTTTGCTTTCTCTCTTCTCATTCTCTCCCTGCTTACTCGTTGTAGCTGCATCGATCGTCTCTGAATCGCGGTAGTTTTTTTTAACATATCGGCACCGCGGTAAGAACACGTGTACACAGGACCAGACCCCCCGAGAACATCCTTGTGCACTCTCTTCGCGATCAACTCCTATACACGTAACACACACCATAAATTGACTTACGTCTTAATTTTATACACGATAGAGTCAATAATTTTTGTCGTGTAGTCCGAGTGTGTACACATTATCCTCTTTTTTTATTGTTATTTTTAACATCTTGATGTTTTTTTTAATTATTAGTGTATGATATGCAGAGTATAATGCATATGCTACATAGTATGATTAAAAGAACACCAAGCGACGACAACGTTTAATAAAACGACATGATAGTCGTTTAAATATTCGAGGAATAGAATATTTTTCTTGATTTGATATACACTCTGTATGCGGATACGTCGGCATCATCAAGACGCTATAAATATTCACCAGTTTTATCAAGTTTGCTACCGATCCCAATTCACCACTTATTCCGTGACGTATTGATTAAATATTCATTAGACATATACTTTTGTTCTTCTACATATGTTATTTACATTTAATTCTAGTTAACTTTGTACAAGATTCGAAAAATTCCACTCAATCTCGTTAATTCAATCTACTCCAAGAGAAATTCTAATTTACTATTGGTAATTAACGGGTTAGCTTTTGTATAGATATGTCTAAATAAAAGATATACTTGATAAAAAAGCTATTTTTTTGTGTTTAAGAAGCAAAAATATTCTAGAATATTGAATGAATGGAATTTTTTGTTTTAAAAAGCCGTAAAGATAAGCTGATGTATCTTTAAAGTAATGTGAATATTATAAAAAACACATTGAATAATAAAAACAAAAGAGGAACAATTTGCGTGAACTAGAGCGAATCCGAGTACCGAAGCAAATTGATTGCATGCATGCGTTCAAAAACCATTGTATACCTTATCATCATCCTCGATATAAAAACCGAAAAAAGAAAAAAATAATAAACAAACTATAAGAAAATAAAAAACGGGTGTATGGTCAAAAGCGTTACATTTGAGGAAAAAAATACCAACGTCTTATGAATAAGAATGATCTGATAATCATATAGATCGGAAAATGTATATATTTTGAGGCGTAAATTTGTATGAAAATTGAATAAAGCAAAATCTACAGATCGTTTCAAAGTTGTTTAAAATTCGATCCGTTTTTGTCTTCATGTGTAAGGCTTGTCTTCGTTGTATACGACGAATAAATTTTGTTATCCCTCTACCCCTTTACATTTACATATTTCTTCCTTTTCACACGAGAATCGAGTTGAAGGTGGTGGCGTGTTTTAAATAAATGTCCATTTGTAAAGAGACCGCTCGTATGCGCCGGTGCTGTTGGCTACTTTCGCGCGAATACAACATAACAGAGAAGAAGAATTGTCAAAGAAAATAAAATCAAAAAAGACAGAGAAAGAGAACAGTAACAGAAAACGAGTGAAGGAGAGAGAGAGAGAGAGAAAAAAAAGACACGATGCAAAAGGATAACGCGTTTCTGCTCAACGTAGTAGATCGCGACGTAGATTTATCTTTCGTTCGTAAAGTCAACAGGCAGCTATTTTATTGGTGCGATTCCAAAATGCCGCGAAGCTGAAGAATTATTGTAGAAAGACGAAAATTGAAATCAGGGTGAGAAGTAAGCAAAGTATAGAAGAAGAGCTTCAAGCTTCAATAAAAAAAAACCATTTCAGTTTCGATTTGTATCGGAATTCAAGGCGCATTTGTGTCACACACGGCTTATATATTTGCTACTGAGTCGAAATGTTCAAAGGCCTACCATTTTTTGTCTTTCATTCTTTTTTTTATATTTATTGTTTCCGCTCTTTATTTTCATTGTCATTCACTTCAGCAACATATGAGAACACAATCATTTTCAACTATATTTTTTATGTAAGTGTAATGTACACAGAGGGAATGTTCAAAAAAATTACAATCGAATTCATTACATCTACAAGGAGATATTTTTATGATAAAAGTAAGGACAAATTTTTAAATAAATATTTATCAAAAAAAAATTATTTTACATTAACTTGATAAACATAATAAATAGTAATGATTTATAAAACAGTAATTGCTTCAACTTATCTCTTTATTACTCATCTTTATTATAGACATCACGATAATTTTGTGCAGATTTCACATCAAACTTTATCGAAGAATTCCCTGAGTAGGGATTAAACCAGGAAATACTTCTTAAGAAAGTAAAAGACATTAGTTTCATGATAATAAAATTCCTCTGAGGAATCATTTCCCACCAATTCTCATTATGTACTTGGATATTAATGAAATTATTATTAATAAGACCAGATTATGTGTAAAGACAATATTTAGCTGAAAATTAGTCATATAAGTCTCAAATAATAAAAATTTAAACCACGGTCACACTAGTTTAGCAAAAAGATAACAGAGAAGTCTCTCGTAAAATACAAAAGAATAAGAATTGAAGTGTACAAAGGTATATACCTCGTGGCAGAGTCACAGCCACAGCCCGGGATCTCATTTACAGTACAAATTAGTTGTAGACCGGTCTTCAAGAGCTTAATGACCACAAAGCACGCAAAGAAGTTAGGTTTAATGAAGACCGCGCGTTATCCGTGACGAAGCCCGCGTGGCATGGTCGTTGCACACATGCAGATACTACGTCACTATTCGCAGGCGTTTTCCACCAGCCAATTGCACTTGAATACATCCAAGTTGTTAGGTATTAGTCTTTTAAAGAAGCATACGATATGCTTTACGCACTACATACAGCTTTACGAACACAGTATAGACAATCCTGGTATAAAGAGTTCTGAATGCACGTTAAACGAAGATTTATATCACGACGCGTAAATATAAACAACAATATGCAATCTTAGTCTCATTGTCCAACACTAGACGCACCACAAACTACACCTTACAACCACCGACTTGCATACATTTATGGACTACTATATTGATCACTAATGCGCCTACACCAGTCTAATAGAGACTGTCTATAATATGTCTGATTTAATAAAAATAGGAAGAAAATCAAAATCATTGACCTCGAATTCCCATTGAGCAATTTATTTTGAAGATCATTGGAGAATGAGTTACCGAAAAATACATGACATTTGAAAAAAGAATAAAAGCAATTCTAAGAATTGGTGGAATATGAATTTTCACTGGAAATATGATTTGAATCAAGTTTTTTTTTTTCAGATATGAATCCAAAAATTTGGTAGAAAATGAAAACAATTGTAGAAATCACGAAAGAAAATTAAATTTTTAACTTTTGTACAAATAAAAATAATTTTTGAAAACTATTGTCTTAAAAAATGGCGAAATTGGTAAGAGTTCAGTTAATATTAAAAGTCACACAAGGATGTAGTTAAGTTCGAGTCAACAACTTCTGGGAATTGTGTGCCTTTTCATAACGTATAATAGCGAGCAAAATTGTCCAAGTCAATTGGTGGGTAGTTGATCTTTCTACGTACTATTAAATAATTTAAGTCGATATACTTACACTTAGATCGTTCATAATACTATTTTCTTGGCGTCAGGGGAGGTTTTAATCCGTCTGTTGACCGTTATGATTCTCGAACCCAGCACCTTCCTACGAATCCGCGTGTGAAAACGGTGAGGTCACACGCAATTGCATGTAATATCTCACTTTAGATTTCACTTTTTATTTCCCTTCTTAGAAAAGAATGTGTAAAATTCTTTTCTTCACTCACGACACGTTGGCTGATTGTTGTCATTGCTATATTGCACTAATAAACATGCAGTTTACTTGATTTTTGCGACGACGCCAACATCGTTGACAGCATAAAGGATCCGCTATAATAATCAGCATTATTTACTCGCAATTGACGCTTTCAATAACATGTCATTTTTTTTTTATTAAATAATACTCAAGTACACACATTTTTTGATGATGAATATGAAAATCATTATGCACTCACTATTTTTTATTTACCTTATGACATCTCAATGATGTGTTTGCAACAAAAAAAAGCACTTGACTCAATAATCACAATTAACAATTTTTTAACTTTCTGATTAAGTGTTGAAGTTATAAAAAATTCAACGATACTTATAAAGTCAAGAGAAGCTACACGCACAATCTTTTTTTTCACTACTTTTTATTTTTGTTCTCGCAAAATTTAACTGGCATTATAAATCGCGTTTGCATCAAATATATTACATCTAACGACACCCTCCCTTCACACTGGTCGCACACGCACTGACTTGGCATACCGGTACAATTCTTCCATCAGCTCGCAGTAAGCTGCGCATCATTATACTGCGCATAGTGGGGATAGTTTGTGTGTTGAGGAAATTTTAAAATCTTTTTTCGCGTTATAATCTTACCTCTGGTCCACTAGGTGAGGACTAAAAATGGATTACGGTGAGGGGTTGAGTTCTTCACATTTATTAAAGTACTTTTATAATCCCTAAAGTATTCATCACAGAGTCTTATTGAAATAATTAATCCTATTTCGTACCATAATAGACGAGGTTTCTTACAGAATTGTGAGGATTACATCCTTCCCTTTCCTTGATATTCTTTGATTTTTTCACAACTGTTGTAAGATTATATAGGATTTTCTGGAAGAAATTGTATTAAATTTCTCTTTAAAATTCAATTATATTTTCACGACAATAAAATAAGAGAATTTGATGGAATATTTAATATTGATTTATTTTTGCAATTTATTCATATCCTTAAAACATCAAATATTATATATTATTTATCTCTTTTCAATTAATTATATGTACTACTAGATAAAACAAATTTATTTAAATTATGTATTATAGAAAAAACGATTACAAAGTTAGTTGACAAATATTGACTCCAAAATCGTTTTGGAGTAAATAAATATAACCAGCGAAAATGGAAATCCATCGATTAAAGTAAATAGGTCTATCATTCAAAGCTTCATGATAAAATTTATGCAAAAACATATCAGGTTCTTAATACAAAAGTAACTTGATATTTTTTGGACCTAAGCTATTCAGAAGAAAGATATAGCTGTCTTTATTATATTTACGATCAGCATTATCAGGGTAATTCCACAATATTGATTCATTTGCCATAGTAAGATTGTTGATCTCAAGGGATTGCTCGAGGCGTTTCGTTACTGGATTCATCTTTGCGCCTCGACGACCTCCTGTGGTGGTTTGCAATATATATAAATACGTTGTATCGAAAATCAAAAAAATTGAATATAAAGGCACAGGATATCAGAATCAAGATATATATAGATCACCATGCTTGCTGTTATGTATAGTGGACTATATACCATGTCTGCTTGCTACCGGAGACCGATGAAACCCTTCGCCCGATCCCTTTCCAGTCTTCCTTTCGATTTTTTTTCTCTCCACCCACCTCGCGCGCGATCTGATCGCTAGCCAGCGGTTTTCCGTTGTGAATTACACTCCTTCTACCTTTGTCTCCCTCTCTTCTTCTCAATGGCCAGAAAAAAAAGGGTTTACAAGCAGATTCGATTACCCAAGGGTACGCTTCCTGTTTGTATGTGTTGTGTACACATAGTGTGTATGTAGAGCTTCTAAATTAATTCACTTTTAATTGTTGCGTTATCGATCGGCAAGCATCCAATCTTAATAATAGAGCTCATCCAGATAATTAAAGTCAATATTGATACAAGGCTTTATGTAGACAATTTATCGTCTTAACTGAGATTTCAATGAAGACTGAAATTGCAATCATTAGGTGATTACAATAAATTGAAATATTGCTGAATTTTTACATTTTTGTTGATTTCCTTCAAACCAATCTTTAACTTCATCTTTCTATTCTTCTTGTTCCACTTCAAATAAATCAATATAACCATCTTGATTCTTTTTATTTTTCAATTCTTGTTCCATTACTCATTTTTCTACAGTTTTTTGTAAAACGTTCTGTCAATTTTTTTTCTTTTTACTTCAACATTTATTCCGCGGCATCAGTTTCAATCAATATAAAGAAGTAATAAATTTTTTATATTCAGTCTTGCGAAAATCAGTCATCATGTGGGATGTGGTTATCGTGTTGAATCTATTATAACAGTGTAGGAGAAAATAACAAAACGTAGTCTGGTTAGAAAACGAATGGACAAGACATTGCCAAGTAGGTTGTTCGGCTTCTCTTCTGCAGCAGCATACCGTTCACGGTGTATATCCTGATCGACCACGATCAGAGAACGACCGGACACCTCCGTCCTCGTCTCACTCTTCTACTGGAGATTGTCGGCCACCCGTGAGACTCTCTAGCCTTGAGGGCCAACATGGTACCTTGTGTGAGGATAAGAAATCGATTCTCACTATCGATTTTACTCCAGCAATGTTTATTTCAATATATAGCACATGGTAATCATCAAGATTAAGGCCGAATGTCAATCTTCTCTTTGAAAAATGATAATCATAACATTAGAATAATAATTTTATTCTAAACTATTTAAAAAACAAATCATCATCATCTTAAATATCTTATTAAATTATTTTTTTAATGAACAAAATTAAAGACTTGCTAATATTTTTACAGTCATTTTAATTAATTGTAAAATTTAGTGTTAAAGTTGTCGTAAAGCTAAAATTTAATAATAAACTCAAAGTTAAACGACAAAATTCAATAATAAAGTCAATGCTAACATTGTTACTTAAATTATTCAGACGGTTATATTAAATAGTCATGATGTTACCATGCACAGATGGTGTAATTTTGAAGCACAGTTTATATTAGATTTCTGGTAGTTCAATTAAATTGAATAATATTTGCTCTTCAAGATTGAGTGAAGAATGAAAGTGTTGGTGAAGAATCTACAAAAATGCCAGTTAAAATATGATATGACGAAAGCTCTCACTCGGAACTTGATTAATCATATAATTTTTGTCATTAATATCAAGATTTTCTAGATGCTTTTATCATCAGCAAGGCACACACCAACTATATGAAATTTCAGATAAAAAAGCAAATTAGCCATTTAAAGCGAAATGCCGGGACGCTGAGTTGTCTGGAGAATTTCTAGGCAAAAGAGAAGCCGCGCAAAGACTCGTCCGGGGCTCGATGAACTCGCTTGCAAAAATTGCAAAAGATACGCGAGACTTGAAGAAGATAGGGGAGAGAGACGAGGAATATATGTATAGAGAGAAGAAGACTAACAACGGGTTTGGTCGCAAGAACGCGCAAGTACGCTTAGGATAATCTATGTGTATAAGTGCGTAAGATACATATTTACGTGACTTATGAATGTAAATGTGTAAGTCCGTGCGAGTTTCCTCGCTTCTTCTTGCTTTCTCTTCTGCATAGCTAAATAATATAGCGATGTTGTAAGTTACTCGAATATGTAGAAGGAGGGTGGCTTTTCATCTTCTACTCAATTACATGCTTATTCTCTGTATTATTGTCGCTTGTAAAATTATCTTTAATGCCTAACAATTAATTATAATACATACTGTAAGAAGAAACGATGCTATTACCAGTCTTATTATCACCTGCTTCAATGTTTGACACTTCTCATTAAATATTAAGTTGAGATTTTATTCACTTAACTTGCTCAAGATTAGTTAAATGTTTCTGTTATCAATACTTTCAAAAGATTTCTATAAAGTCAAATGTTTTTTATTTCTTTCCAAGTTTAATCTTTTCAATAACTTCTTAAAAACTTTTCCAAATACCTTATTTACTTACTTTAATAATGAATCAAACTCCAATAACTAAATCTATTCCAACAATGGATGAATTTCAAAACTCATTTTGGATGATTGATTGATGAGAGCTGCTCCAATCTTGAAAACGATTATTTTCATCAAAAAATACTTTGATTAATGGAATCAAGTGTTTATTATTAATTAAATAAATATTGTTTAATCGTTGTTTAAACAATTTTTCAAAGAAAAGATTAAACGCTATCCAATCTTCTTCCTTATTATCTATATAAATATGAATATTTTCTTTTGATAATGTTTCTGGAATAAAAACACTTCTCATCGATATAAATCTCCATTAGTTATCAGCCTAGACTAAACAATAACTGGAACGAATATTTAGCGATGGTAAGTTAGCCAAGAATAATTAATAAATCATTCATGGAAACGCGTGAAAAAAAGTGAATGAAGATATCAAGGAAAAAGTAATGAGAATAAGTTGGTATTTTATTGTGTATCTTATACTTAATACCGAATATTCTACGTCAGTAGTGCGATAAGACGACAAAGGATCGGCTCGTTGTTCGACCGGGGATCTTGCGATAACCTCCACTTAACCAAGAGAACAGAGGGCACGGTAGAAGTGAAGCAGTTGCAAAGAATCGAAGTAGGTGTTCAGAATGGTATCGACCGTATAATCGATAAAAGCTCTCTTGAACTTCTACAGATGCTGTTTCAGTAGTCAGGTTCTTCTACTGGGTTATGGTAATTTGTAGGTTGTGCTTTAAACACCAGTAGTAATTTATAGCATCTTAAAATATACATTACCAATATCTTTTGGTCTATTGCTATTTAATTCCAGGATCTGATGAACATAAATTATCATTTTTTATTCATCTACATAATAGTAGCTTAAAAAGAACAATTGAATGAGACACTATCAAGTGTCGGAGTTGTTTTGAAATAAATGTGATTGCATTCTCAAACATTTCTTTAGCATTGGATATTTTCTAGGATAGAAAGGCTGCGCATATTGTGCAATTGGGAGCAGAGGACTGTTGTTTGCAATAGGATTATTCTGGTATAGAGAACCTTAGCAAGATTCGACTCCGATATGGGAAATAATGGTAACTGCCACGTTGATATGGTAATGGTGATGCAGAATCTACGATTTCCTCGCATTCTATACTGTCTTCGCAATTGTTTATCTGCCTCGTTTGCGCCAAGCTTTTGATTCCCACTAGATCTGATCAGGTTTCCTGCTCCAAATGAACGACACTCTCGTTATTTACTACCAATTGAATGGTATATTTTCCAATGACAACCTGTAAAATCAACATAGTTCTTCAACACATAATTGACAAAAATTATCCAGTATATCTATAATATTTTTAAGTGTTCTTATATGTGAAGACTAACGTATACATAATATCAGGAGAAAAGAGATAAGTATGTGAGCGTGGGGATATATACCGTGGTAGAACTAGCACGAAGAGTGTTTATGGTAATCTCTGAGCAGGGTGGCCTCCTTCTCTCCATTTCTTGCGGCTTTCCCGCGAGTCTGCTGTGGCTACGCCTC